TAGTCAAGCCAGAAGCCGTCACCCTGAACCTCTCGTTGCTCCCTGCCGGAATTAGCTTCGCAGGTCCCATTTTGTACGTACATTAGTCAGTTATTCTTGACAATAAAACATTCTCATAAGCTTCGTAAAAAACAATTAGACATACTACAAAAATCAAATTATGCATGTTGCTTGTATGAAGACACGATTCAAAACATTTTCGCTTAACCTACATGTGTGTGAGAGCGCATCGCATCAACATGAGTATCGCCGGCATGGTGGCTTTGTTTTGTTTACGTTGCGCGACAAGACTCCGCCGCGCCTGGTAAGCCTGCTCCAAGCAGCTTCTCATGTGCTTTTTCTTAAATTAATTAACTTTGATAGTTTGTCGAGGCATCAAAACCCCTTTTAAAAATTTTAGAAAGCTGCAACTTGAATCATTTTTGCTCGTCAATATGAAAGACTTCGTCAATATAAAATGCAGCTGTGAAGTTGTTCGTATTGGAGGAAATACGAAAGCATAGAACTTTATGGCACATCGACAGGAAATGAAAGAAACGTTTAGATTTAAGCAAACGGGCGATAAGTGTTACACAGTCAAACCAGTGGCCTCATGCTCACTAGTGATCATGGCAAGTACGAAAGCTTTTCTTTTTTTTTCTTTTTTTTTTTTGATGTAGTAAAGCGCTACCACATAAAAAAAGGTACAAAAGGTTTATTCAACATGTAAATTGAACCCAAGACATTGCAGTGACAAGCTCAACTACTACAGTCTTATGCTTTCTGGCAAGTATAGATGGTGACATTTTTTTTTATTTTTGTGCAGAATAACTGACTATAATAACTGTATTGTTTCCAACATAGATATATGATTGAATAAAAGATTACTGTTGGAAAAATTGCACCTCTTCATTGCTCGATATTTGAGTCGTATTCAAATCAATGTATTTGTATTTGATTTGTATTTGAAAATCTTGATATTCGCACACTCCTAGTTGTATGTAACGTTTCAAAGCATGTTACAAGCACGAGTCTTAAGCAGCAAGCCACGCATTGTATGGAGATCACAGTGCCTTGTCAAATTCAATTGGGCAAGTTTGAGCAAACACTTCTTCCCTGCCTGACTTACTTGTTCACATATATATACTTCTCAGAAAATGATTTTGGTGTGAAGAGCTTTATGTTGTACAGTGAAATCTCAATAAAACGAACCCTGCATTAATGAACTTTTCAGATTAACGAACTTTTAAAAACTTTCGTGCTGACTGCTAATAGTCTCATTGTAAAATTATTTCACTACTACGTACTTCAGAATACTGAACTTTTCAGAATAATGACCATTAATTTAGTTCCACGCTATATTAACAACACTTTAGTACTACGAACTCAAGTTCTGAAACCAATTGCGACCACCAGAGCGGTACACAAGCAGACAACGCAGCGAACGCCTTCCCTCTTGAAAGACGCGCGACTGTGCGGAGGGAGAAAAAAGAAAACGAATGGGTGACTTTTTTTCCTTTTTATTGAAACGCCGACGCTGCAAGTTTAGAAGCGCAGAGGCAAGGGCAACAAGAGAGGGCAAGGTCAGCAAGGCAGAGTGAGAGTTGCGGAGCAGGAAGCATGGGCGTGGAAAACCTGAGACAGCGAGGGAGCAGAAAACCAAACACGAGAAATTTTTTAGCACTTTTTTTTTCTTCGTGAGAGACGATGACAGCCGTGATGCTTCGGGCTTTTCTTTCCGTGTCACTTCTACATGTGCCCTAAGAGGCCTTGTTTGTCAGTCGTGTCCATCTTTTTTCGGTGATTATTACTTATCACGTCCACAAAGCAAGTCGGTGTTCACGCTGCGGTGCTACTACAAATGAGTTCATCTCTTTATCTGCTTGCGACGAAAAAGCGGAAGCAGTTTTCACTAAGCAAGAAAGTGTTTATTCTTTGGCAAATGGAAGGCAAAGAGCAGGCTGTTGTGACCAAAGTACCAAATTGCACCACAGGAATGTGGATGAGCTAAAGGCCTATGCGCTGCAAATTTTGTGCTGTATGCGTTAAAAAACAAAAACAAAAAACACAGACTTCTATAAAGTAAACATGCATTTTTTGGTGTTCACTTGTGCATTTGTTTTTTCTTGTGAAAAACTAGTTCAAGGACCCACCGTTGTAAAGGCAAGTTGTTTTGGTGGGTGGAAATTAAGTATTTGTAGTTAATTTTTGGCCTTTCACTATAACGACCTTTCAAAATAATGAACAAATCAAATAATGAAAACCCTGAAGTTCGTTATACCGAGATTTCACTGTAGTTTCTATGAGATTGTGAACACAGGATTCTTCACTGTGGTAGAAATTTTGTAGCATGCAACAGTTGTGAAAATGCCCTTTTTTAAATAGGGAATTTTCGGATGAAAAGAAGCATGGTAGTTTTTCAATGTACACAATACGTGCATACTGTATTTACCGTATTTACTTGCGCAATGAATGCACTCGCATAATAAATGCATCGGCAAAAGTTGGATCCCCCCCCCACCCCGCATAATAAACGCACTCCTTGTATTCATCTGCTGCAGTCCCGCTAATCGACAGACACCTGGTGCCTTCTTACCTGTTAGATCTCTTCTATTTTTTTTATTATTATGCCGACCCCCTCAGCCACATCGGCTCGCTCCCTCTCCCCCTTCACCTAGTTGCCATGTGCCACGTTGTTTTTCTTCTACCTGTGTGTGGCACGTTCCCCGTCTTTCTTATTTGTGCGTCACAGCAGGGTTCACGAACAGTGCAAGTGTAGAGACATCGCAGCTGATTAGCACACGGTGAGCGAAGGTCATGAAACTGCCCGCGCAAACAGACAGTTGCTTCCCGCGAATACAAAACTTGAAAGCCTAGCCCGCGATTTTCGAGCGGCAATAAGAGGATTTGCTGTTGCAAAAGGGCATTCATCGTTGTCGCATCGCAGGTTTCCGGAATACCAGAAAAAAAATCGCTTGTTGCCCAAAAAAGATCGTGAAGATTTCCGTGACTTTAGTAGCCCACCCGATTCTTGCTTCGCTTGTTATCCGTGCATACAGGAACTTCTTATGTGAAAGCGAGGCGGCAGCCGTATTTTCTCATTAATCTTATTATCGACGGTTTGTTTGGGTGCTTCGAGGGTAGCTTGCTGCAATGTTGGCTACTTGCAACAATGGAAACATCATCGCGGTCGTCGTGCTAGGTCGCTGCGAAGTTGGCAAAGTGCGTCGTAGTGCACGCTTCTGGGCGCCCCTCGAGATCACAGCCGATAGTACTTTTCTCGATTGCGAGAAAAAATAGCCACAAAACGCTTTTATAGCATGTGTGGATGTCGCGGGGACAACTTGCAGAAGATGGCGCCATCAGGTAGGTAAAGTGCAATAAAGAAGCTGTTTCCAAGCAGTGTATGTGTATGCCCATTGCGAAAGGCTAAGTGACCTAACTTTTTTTTGCAGTACCGTATTTTTTTCTCCTCCCATAAAAGTTCTCATAAAATTTGCCTTGCATAATAAACACACTCGTACATTGTTCTGCTTTTTTCGAAAAAAAAAAGTTCATTCATTACGCTAGTAAATACGGTATTTGCATAATTTGTGCAATTTTTTGCGATTTCTGGGTTCCGAAAAGGGGGGGCACAAATTATGCAGCGATTTCGAGAATGCATACAGAATAATGTGCAATAGTCCAAGTGCACGCAGTATATACATAAAAGAAAATAAAATAAATTGTACCACAAAGCATTCTTGTTTATATAACAGAATTGGCATGTACTTTAACTAAGTCAGATCCGGTCCCATGCGATGCCCTGCCGCGGTGGTCTAGTGGCTAAGGTACTCAACTGCCGACCCGCAGGTCGCGGGATCGAATCTTGGCTGCGGGGCTGTATTTCCGATGGAGGCGGAAATGCTGTAGGCCCGTCTGCTCAGACTTCGGTGCACGTTAAAGAACCCCAGGTGGTCGAAATTTCGGGAGCCCTACACTACGGCGTCTCTCATAATAATATGGTGGTTTTGGGACGTTAAACCCCGCATATCAGTCAATCCGGTCACATGCGTTCTAGTCGAAATCACTGATGGAGAGGTTCAATTGAAAAATCATCGTCGCAACCGCTGTCCCCGACTGCCTATAGCGCATCGCCCTTGGTTTTGTTCAGCGCATTCAAATGTCCCATTTTATTGAAGCTCTTCTCAGCAATTCTGGAGAAGCTAGGTCCCACGAAATGACAATACCAGTAGGCCTAAGTGTTTGCACATAATTGAAAAAGCCTTCTTCAGCGGCAGGAAACTTGTATTAGCAACCGCTCACTCTTCTACTTTTTCCCGTATCAATCGCGTTGATTGTCCACATTGTGACAACTTCACATTGAAGTGCTTGGCAGTGGCACAATTCCCATTTTCTTTGGCAAACTTCATAACAGCGAGCTTGAATTTTTACTTATATATAATTACTGTAGCCTTTCGCAAGGGAGCAGTAACAACGCAAAGGACATATGGTGAAATCTTAACTTCCGAAATCAAATGGAGTAATACAAAATCAGCCGAGCGTGCGTTACAGCGCAGACGCAGAGAACGAGGGGAACAGTTAGCATGACAGGCCCAACAAGCCCTCGCAAGTCTCCGGTTCCGAAAGTTGTCCGTGCCGTGTTAAGGGCGTTCAATCTCATGGTGGGAGAGATGGAGAGATAAATGGGGGCAAACGCTCCAGATGTTCTGGTCAACAGGTTTGAGTGTTTGTGTACTATAGTTTTCTAGGGACTCTAGTTAAGGGAACTCCTTGGTAAAGGGACTTCCCAATGATCGGCAGGATGCATGTCTATGTAAAGGTCTAAAGTCTTCGTGCGTGCCATTGAGCTGGCTCGAGGGGGTTGGGGAGTGCAAGATATGCGAGTAATTATATATATATATTTTTCATAAAGCTGACAAAATATTAGGGGTGTGAAAATATGCGAGTAAGTACCATACTTTTGCTGTTGCAAGATAGTCTCAATGAAACATTTCAAGTAAGGTAACTTGTTGTTGCAGCTGTGATCCGAGATGCCCAGGCAGAAGAATCCAAGTACAGGGGCGAATTGAGGAGGATTGGATTCAACAGCAATTTCATCAAAGATGTAAGTACTATTGCCCACACATTCAGAGCAATTGAAATTTCAGGTGCAAATAAATTGCGAAAAGGTACGCGCGCACGGTGTGTGTACCTTCGTCATATTCACGCATTTAAAGGGGCCCTCTAACACTTGAAAAAATCGATGCCGACAGCATAGCTCATAGTGGTGCTCGCCAGAACTACTGCGAGCAGAAATGATGCCGGAAGGTTGCCGCCGCATGATTGGATAAATGCAACGTTAAATGTGATTGTGGCATTGCATAAAAGTAGGGATTTCTAAAATTTCTTTTTTCATTAGCATGATTTTTTACTCAATGCGACAGAGAATAAAGCTCTCCGACTTTTCCAGCTTGAAAACTGTAAAGCCGGTCAAAAAATGCGCTGAGCGCTATGTGCTGGACAAAACGCGCCGGCGACGGTCTGGGCGCTGATATTTGAAGAAACTAAAAGAAAAAATGCAAGAGTGTTGATTTATATATGTCATTGCAAAAAAAAAAAAAGATCAGTAAAGCTACAAAACATTATAGAAGTGTTCGCAAGCTGGCTCGTTTCGCTTGTGTCGTTCCCTCTTCAAGTACCACATTTTTTTTTACCATCGCAACGGTGTCTTTGATATGCTGGACTAACAGGCAATATGTCATGCGAGCTTCCTGTACGGTAGGGCTTTCAATTCATTTTATTGGGCAGCCTTCCGACGTCATAGGACGAGGGAAACACGGTAAGGTGAGCCTGCGAAAATCCAGTTGAGGGTAAGCATCCAATTCATTGTATTTTGATATCTCAACGCTGAATAAGTGCGCACGGCATGGCTTTATCGCTGCCGTTCTTGCGGCACTTATCTCTTAAGCCCTCAGTGTACGCCAGAAAAACATTTAAACCTATGAAGTCATTAAAAGTGTTAGAGGACCACTTTAAATAGGTTTGTGGCGGCCTCACTTTTCGCACAGCACTAGCCAGGCACCCTTTTTTATCTTTTCAGTAAAATGTTATCGCGTTGCATGTGAGAAAGAGAAGTGGGGCAAGGGTGGGCGACCGAGCCGTAGTGGCCGCACAGTTGCTGAAATAAAGTCGATTGTTGTTTGATCTTCGGGGATGCACTAGTCACTCCTATGGGCTGATTTCCATTTGCGCTCACATCACGCATGACCTTGGCGACCCGGACAAGCTGCAAAGGCTATGGACACCCCTCAAGGCACCGACGCACCGACACTCTCCGGCACCGACGTTAAACTGCCTCTTTTTTGCACTGCAGATCCTGCACTTGCACTGCAGATCCTGCACTGAGGACGATTTACTCAAACTGGCTGAGTTAGCCGGCAAGCTCATGGCGGTAGCTCCCACATCTGTCGTGGGTGTCACAAGTGAACAGTCTCTACAGGAGTAGCTTCAAGAAATGAAGAGCGAAATCTCGCGTCTCGTGTACTCCGTGGCCGCCCTCCACACAGCGTCACAGTCGATCAGTCCAAGTTTTTCGCAGTCGGTCATGAAATGTTGAAAGCTATGTTGGTACCACTGTGTGCAACGCTGTGTGCAAATGCATACCCCCCTGCGAGCTCTCGGGAAACATCATGAGCAGGCGCTGAGGGCGACCAGCGTTGCTGCCATGGTGTTTGTCACTCATCAGTCTTCTTCCTAACTGACCTAAACAGCGGCTTTCGTTCTCTCGTCGACACAGGTGCCGAAGTGAGCGCATTCTCAGCATCGCCCTTGGATCGCAAGCGCTCAAACACATCGCCTTTGCAAGCAATCAACAACACGAACATTGCCACGTACGGAAACCGCTCCCTAAACGTCAGTTTGGGCCTGCAGAGAAAACTTCAGTGGGTCTTCGTAGTAGCTGACGTGAGGGTCCCCATTCTTGGGGCGGATTTTCTGTGCCACTTTGCCCTGGTAGTCCACATGTGAACCTTCAGGGCCCTGTGCTACAAAGTGATGTAAAAGGCCAGCCTTGAAGACATACACATCTCAGCCCTACGCTGATCAAGCCAGCAGGCTCTGTTCGTTTCACCTCTATACTGAGTGAATTTTCTGACCTGATCCCTAGTAAAGCACGACCTATTCCACCACATCACAACTACTTGGCCACCAGTCCACGCTCGACCACGTCGACTGTCACCTAAAACACTAGCAGTAGCACAGCAGATTTGACCACATTTTGCAGCTAGGGATTATCAAACCTGCCCTTTTCTTGGGTGTCTCCCCTTCGCATGGTTATTAAACGGTCATAGGGTGACTGGTGCCCTTGTGAGAACTATCGAGCTCTTAAAGGGACACTAGAATCAAATAATAATTTACATCAGAGTGGAAGCTCGATGTATGAAAACATCTAAAACAACTATATTATCAACAGCAGGGCCCGACTGACCAAGAAATTAAGGTAAATGCACAAGAATACATGCACCACAGTAGGACATCTTCAATGATCCAAATGACGTCAGACAAACCATCATCAATTAATCACTAATAATCGAACTAGCTGCACTAAATGAAGAACCTTTCGTGCATCAAGAGACATAATAATACGCTGCTTGTTCATTTCTGTTTGATTCATGGAAAAAAAAGACCGTCGGGCGTTATTATGGGGAATGGCGTGAGTGGTTCAAAAGTGGGCCCCAGTTGAACCAAAAGCATCTGCCATCTCTGAGCGAATGGCAGGAAATTGCTGAATTGTTGTTGTGGCTGCTGTGACTCCCGCTGTTTTCATTCTGCTGCTTCTAGTGTTGACGGCCAAGTAGTAAAGCCGGGCAACGTTGTGCACGGCAACGGTGATGTGAGACGTTTTGCTTGGGCGAGTAATTTGAAGTGTACCAACCCGATGCGGATCACTAAAAGGTGATTTTTAGGCTTGTGCGAATATTCGAATGTTTGGGATATTCGAATGAATAGTAGAATACAGTCGCCGACCGATTTTTCGGACCTGGCGGGGACCGAAAAAAAGTACGAAAAATCGAACAGTCCGAAAAATTCGTTTTCGCCAAAAATCTGAAGTTTATTGCATCAGGCAGGTTTAAAAAAGTCCTTGATGCTGCCTTGCCTCAAACTACGCTTGGAGGCAATTTGGTTTGCCCGTATTTGCGCCAAGGTGACATCGTCGCCGTAAACGCTCGACAAAATTGTCACCGCGTTGGCGATCTCCGACGGCTGCGGGCGGTCGTCGTTGTCATCCGACGACAACGACGACCGCCATCCGGCGTCGACCGTCATCCAGCGATATCTAGCTGCGAACGTCCACTCTCTATTAGCTTGATTATGGCAGCTTTCTTCTCCATCGTCAGGGTCGTATACTTCCCACGCTTCTTCACACCACCTGGCTCCCGCGATGGCACAGATAGCGGAGCCATGGCACCGAGAACACAAAATTCGATGCCGCAGATAGCCGCTGCGAAGCACACAACGTCTCGACGCTACGCGACACAACACATGCAGAATGGCGACTGAAAAAAGCTGCAACGACAATAAAAGAATCCTTCTTTCGCCTCCTCCCCGTGCGATGTGATGACGATAGTGCTGACCGAAGACGAAAAAACGGCGTCCATTACCGCGTCTTTTAAAAAGCAAACACGGCCTCCGAAACTTAAAACATGGCGTGCGCATTCCAATCTCGGAGGCAGGAAAGGCATCTGAAGACCAAGTTTAGCCAAGCCGACAGGAAATCCAACATGGCGGCGTTCACAATGGCTTGGAGCGTGGCACAAAACGAGCGATTTAGTCCGAAAAATTGAACTTTCAGGGGCAAATTCGCCAGAAAAATCGGTCGAAACAATGCATTAGCTCTATGGAATCCCTGACGGTGCATTTATGAAGTCCGGAATATCCAACAAGTCCGTATTTTTGGAGTCCGGAAAATCGGTCGGCGACTGTATTCGAATTTCGATACGAATTTAAATTATCGAATACTTCGAAGTATTCGATATGAACGAATAGGTGTATATCAGACCTCATGTAACCGCCTGTAAAAGTGGTTTCACTGCAGTATAGTGGTGCTAAGCCATAAAAACATCTATTCAAGAAATATTTGCATTCCCGCGAAGCCCCACATCAAATTTAAAGCTGCCCTACAACACTTTCTGAGCATGGTCAGCAAACGCTGCCGATCGGTAGTCGAGGCTACCGAGAACACCCGAGCTAAATATTATAGAGCAGCACATGACCTGAAATTCACAATAAATTGTCAATGTTAAATAAAAATTGCTCTATTCTCTTGGCAAATGATGCCACAATGTCAAACATTGCTCACCACAGCCATTGTTCCAGCCATTGGTTGATTTGAGTATGGGGCGCTCGGTCGTTACTGGAGCTGCTGCGTTTGGCCGCGACATGTCCACGTGTACATGCACAATTGCATTGAAAATTCGCGTATTCAAGGGGAAAAAAAAGAGAGAAAGAGTGCTCAGGGTCACGGCACGCAAGTGACATATTTTCCTTCTCTATACCATTCCTTGCTGTTTCGCTTCAAGCACTTTCGTCGGGACAAGAAGAGAGAATGCAATTGCAGCATGTAGCAGTTCTTTGTGCCTCCGCTCATACTCAACAGATTCTAAAAGTTTTTGCGGCGGTTAATTATGAGGCAATAATCTTTAGTTAATACATTTTATGAATACATTCTATTCTAAAAAATGTTGCAGGATTTCTTTAAGTAAACATATTATCCTCAATTCGATTGATCATTTCCTAATCTTAAAAGCTTTTTTTGCCGGCTTATACACTTTAGCTGTAATGAATAATATTGTGTATTTTACAGGTTATCACTTTCATTCTACTGAAAGTCAAATACTGCTACTTCTCAAAATTAATTCAACTTCTTTTGAATGGAAATATAAAGCTCTTGCATAGAGGCCTTGTTAAAAAATATATATATTGTGCAGCTTATTTCCTTACACAACACATATTTTATTCGCTTCGAACCTAAAATTCACTATTCGCACAAGCCTAGTGATTTTATTTCAAAATAAGCACTTCCTTGGCCCAAAAGTAACACTACAAGGTTTTTTTGAACCGCCACCT